AACTCCAGGGCAGAGAGCAGAATTCCGACTCCTTCCATAGACAGGGCTCCTAGAGGCCCCAGGATACACACTGGAGACCAAATTCCTTCCCAAGGGAAGAGATGGTGTGGAGGCCACAGGGGGCATCAGTAAAGGATGGGGATGCTGATCAACTGGGGGTCAGACCAGACCGAGGGCTGGAGTTTGGGTCGAGGCAGGAAGCCGAGTCTGCAGAAGCCTTGTGGAGACAGAGGCCTCCAAGCCTGGGTCCTAGACTAGAGCCCGTCTCTGCCACAGCCCGGCCCATTTCTCCTTCCTGCCTCCTCATCCAGGTTTGGGCCAAACGGTTAGTAACTCAGATTAAACCTGCTTCTTCTCCTGGGTACTCCTACTGGCGGTGGCCCCAATACCCACTGGGGACCCAGGCAAAGCCTCCGTGCCTCCCCCTTGGAAGGCCAGGAGCCCGTGGGGGCAGGCCTTGGTCTGAGTCCTGGCTGAGGGCCAGGAAAAGCACAGGTCTGGGCCAGCAGAGGTTCGCTGAGTGTTTATTGAGCAAAGGACACAGCAGAGACATCGGTCTCCAAGTGTGAAGGGAGCACTCTGTCCACATGGGTTTGGATCATCCGAAAGCTAGGGGTAAGGCACTTGGCCAGTACAGTTGGCCTCTATCCTTAGGTTTCGCGTCTCTGCAGATTCAACCAACTGCAGCTCGGAAAATATTGGAGGGGAAAAACAAACAAACAAACAAACAAACCCAAACAGCAGTTCAGCGGCCACAGGAAACCCTGAACTGCTAAGTGGGAGTAGAGAAGTGCTCTCTCTACACGGGCACTTCATTTACCCTGGGTCAGGCACCACAATAACCCGGGCAGGGTGGAAAGTACACAGGAGGTTGGAGGTGGGTTACATGCCAATATGAGCGCATGATATGTAAGGGACTTGACCGTCTGAGGATCTGGGGGATCTGTGGCGAGGGGTTTTGAGTCCTCGAACGGATTCCCCTGGGACTAGAGGGACCACTTGGCTTAGCCCCAGGCGTCACAGAGGAGCTGGTGCTTGGTGGGATTTCTCTTCCTGTTTTGCTTTGAGGGTCCAGGCCTGGCTGGGTGGGTGAGGAGGGAGAGTGGCAGGCCCCCGGGTGGGCATCCCCACCACGTCCTCTGAGGTGGCATTTCCACGGGATGGCATTGGCTGCCTGCTCCTCCTGTCCTCCGCCCGCCTGCCGCCGTCCGCTGCTCACACCCTGGGGATGGGGTAGGAGGCGCAGGCTGCCAGGCCACACATGTTCTTCCCGCGCTGGATGAGGAAGTACCTGGCAGAGAGAGGGAGCGAGGCCCGCTGGTGACTCCTACACCACAGACCTTTCTAGAAT